AAAAAAAAAAAAAAAAAAAGCAGAAAATATGATTAAGAATAAGCATAATAAAGTCAGCCTAGGGGCTGTGCCAGGAGACAGCAGCAAGCAACAACAACAACATTTGTTGCTCAAGGACATTTTTAAGCTACGTCGCAAAATGTGCGCAAGAAACGAGTTCCAAATACCAAAAAAAAAAAAAAATAAAAAAACACACACACACAAATCGAAAAGGAGCTCATAAGACATAACCCTAAAGACCAGCTGACAGCTGTGAGTGTATAAGAGTGCAATGCCAATAACTGAGCAACGAAAAAACGGGACAACCCTTAAAATTGAAAAGTCCTGCACTAGACACAAGAGCAGGACAACGACTGCACAATACCCTGTAAGCAATGCAATTGTATTATATAAATGATGATCAATGTCGAGTGATGCTTAGACTTTGAAATGTATATAAATTAGATATACATGATACATCTAATAATCTATTCATAATATATGCATTTGTGTTTCACTACATTCATTCACTTTTACAGCCACACAAAACCTATATACTCTGTTGCACATTGTATACAGAGCATGACTAAAAATAATTAATAATAATAATAATGCGGTAATACCCAAAAGTTTCATATCAATATCAATAAAAGCCACATATACATACTTAGTTTAACTGCAAATATTATCAATAAATCAAAAAGAATGCTTTAATTCAATTTTTAATTATCAATTTGCAATTTCTACTTAGTGTTCAAAATTTTTATTTCACCATAAACTGTAATGAGCATCATTGCTATTATTATTATGATCACCATCATTACGATGATGATAAGCAGCAAGAATATAATGATGATATCAACAGTCTACGCGACTGCGTCACATCACATGAAATTGAAGCAACAGCTTTTTCCTAGCTGCTGCTGCTTCTCGATTACGCATACGCAACAACAAATTGCAAAAGGCTAAAGGGAAAGAGCAAGAGCGAGAGAGTGAGCCAAAGCGAGAGCGGGTCAGCGGCTTTGGAGAGGGCAGGTAGCAAGCAACGGTAAAACGGCTGGCAAACATATTAGCTGCCGGCTTAAGTGCAATCCATTCATAAGCGAGAGCAACTGAAACGGATAAGCGCCGTGCAAGTAAGCGACAAAGAGCGTACGAAGGAATGGGGGAAGAGGGAATGCGAGCAGCGAGCAGCGAGCAGTGAGAGCAACTGCGAGTGCGAACGACAGCAGCAGCAGCAGGAATTGCCACCATAAGGATATGAATGAATATGAGAATGAGGATGAGTATAAGAATGCTTGCTTGCTTTCTGGCTGATGCGTCTCCGTGTGCCTGCTGTCCCTCTCCCTCACACAGTGACTGTGCGTGCGACTCTATGCCTTTGCCTGTGCCTGTGTGTGTGTGTGTGGGTCTTTTTTTTTCTGTTTTTGTTTTTGTATGTGTGTGCACGTCCTGCGCGCGTGCACAGGCAGGCTGTCGTCTGACTGACTGACTGACTGAGTGACTAGCAACAACAACAACTGCTGCTGCTGCTGCTGCTGTTTCTTATTGACATTGGAGGTTCTGTCGTGTTGCCTTTGCGTTTGCGTTTGCGTTTGCCTTTGGCTTTGCTTGTGCGTTTGCGTCTGCCATGTGGCTCGAGTAACACCCGGCGCAGATGCTAAATAAGAAGCAGGAATTAAAGTGCAAAGGCACAAGCACCAACAAAAACAACAACAACACAAACAGCAGCAACAAGGCTGCGAAAGGTGTGCAACAACAACGGCAACATAAGGTTGAGTAGAGCAGAGACAGGAGTTTAAATGAATGAGTTCCCAAATAATGTATGTATGTATGTATGTGTGCGTGTGTACATCTGGAAAGTAGTATATATTTAATTATAAGCTTGATATGCAGCCCATAAGTAATTTGTATATATCCTATAATTATGCTTTAGAAGACTTAAAATGGAAGTTAAGTATTATGAAAATAAAATATATATGAAGATCAGAATATCTTGATATGATAAACTTAGGCATATAAATTACATATAGAACGATCGTTTCCATGACAAATAGGTACTACGAGTGAAGAAGAACTGAACAGCACGAAATTACGTGTATATAAGATTCATACATATTAAGGTCAAGGAAACATTCCAGAACAATCATCCCTATGACAACAAATAAATTGATCGGAAAACGTCTCAACATAATAGCAAAACAACAAATATATTTGGAGCCGGCTTATATGAATAAAGAATCTATGGGATGAGGAATCATAGATTGTTGTACTCAAACAAAGTGAACAGAACCCATATAAATTGGTTCTGTAATCAACTAGTTGTTAAAATTATTATCTAAAAAGTGTATAAAATAATCGTGTTCCCCTTAATAGAAATTCTTGGAAATCGTAACTCTCGTACGATTTCAATGGATGTGACTGGCTCTACGTATAATAATAAGCTATCATTCCTCCACAGTCATATATGCATATTTATTAAGATACAGAAGCCTATTTTCTATGTATAAGTGAAACATAGCGCTAACCCATATCGTATATATTATAGCATTAATAAAGCTCACAATATTCTCAGACGATAATTCCAATTGGCACAAGTAGAGCTTATATGAAATGCATGGAATTGACAACAAGAAACGCATTTACAAACACTTGAGACGCATTTCATTGAGAGTCACTTATGAGTGCAATTGATTGTTCTGATCTCTGGGAATGCGAAAATAAATGTTTATCAAAGATATTTGCTTATGCAAAATCTTTAAGCTTTCGGGAGTTGCATAATAATTCTCACGAATTTCCCATTAAAAAATTTATTTACGAGGGATAAATTTCAAACTTTGCTTTAAAATGGTTATGGAACGAATAAACAAATATGCTTATAAGATTTATAATTATGTATAAAATTGGGTATTTTATGGCACTCAAATTGGTAAAATTGGTATTGAAATTGATTTTTTAACGATTTAAATATGTATGAATATGTATGTGTGTGTATTGTGCTTTTCATTCTCAATCTTCAGTGGTTTAAAACCGATCTCAAATATGGAACCCTATTAAACCATATTCGAATTTTTTAAAATCATTGCTGAATAATTTCCTTTCTTTATCTCTAGTTCACTCTCATCTTCTTCAATCTCAACAAATTTCAAAATTATGACAAATAATTTTTCCATATATTCAGAATTTACGGTCTCAATTTTCGCTGAGTGTATTCTATGGCAAAACTAACGCAAAATAACAGCGAGCAAAACACAAAATCAAAAAACTAAACTCTATTCATATTTCACAGACACTTTGGAATCTGTTGTTTTTGTTGTTGTTGTTGTTGCTGCTGCTGCCTTAGCTGATATCGCGTCAAATTTAGCGGGAAAAAAATTAATAAGAAATAAAATTGAAATTCCATTCATTATCAGAAAGCAGCAAATACAAGTGCAAATTATTATGTACATACATAAGTATGTATTGTATGCGTGTGTGCGCGTTTGTATGTATGTATGTTTTTAATTGATTTAAACAGCTTGACAACTTAACTTTCGTTTTGAAATCTAATTGCAATTATTTAGCTGCTGTCCTGGATGCATTGCAATGAATTAAAAAACTTGTTGCTTCTTTAGCAAAATATCAGCAAACTGTGTACAGTTATATTTATATATCTAAAAAAAAAAAAAAAAACTAATTGTTGCTATTGCAGCAGCCGACGAAATAAAATTGCCAAATAAGCGATGGAAATTTTGTCAGGCGCAAACTTGTTGCGCTGCATGTGTGTGTGAGTATGTGTGTGTGTGTGTGGCTGCATGCGAATGTATGAATGCATATGAGTGTGAATGCGACTGTGTGCGTGTGTGTTGTTTGTGTAGGCTTACTTTTGATTAATAATTATTTGTGTTTTGGTTTGTTGTAGCTGTTGATGTTGTTGTTGTTATTGTTATTGTTATTTGTTATGCACTTCTATGTTGTTTGCGCATTTTCATTTGTTGCGCACTTTTCACCAAATACAAAAAGCAAAACACACAAAACAAAAACAATTCTTTTTTTTATTCGCGCTCGAAATGAATTTGCACGTCGCCGTTGTCAGAGCACAAATACATATATATATTTACGTATATATTTATTCACACACACACACACGCGCAAATATATTGTGTGTACGTGTATCTCTATGGACTGGTGTGTGTATGTGTGTGTGTGCGACGGGGCGTATGAGCAACGGTTGAGGCGAAAACTTTGCCACTTTGTTGCGTTGCTGTTGTCTGCGCAAAATACAAAAAAATAAAAACACAAACAAAAACAAAAACAATGAAACGCGAAAAAAAAAACCGACAACAAAAAAAAAAGCGAAACACAAACGTCAAAGTAACGCGCAAAACTTTACACTGACGTCGCTGCTGCTGCTGCGGCCGCGGCGGCGTCGTCGTCGTCGTCGTCGCGTTTTAAAGCGGTTTCCGCACGTTGTAAGCGAGTCGACAGGTAGAGCAGCACTGAAAACATTCACGCTGAGCGTAACGCCTAAAAACGTCGCGACGAGGCGACACGACGCCTCAACGACGACGACAACAACAGCCAACAGCAGCAACAGTGGTGAGAGAGAGAGCTGTCAGAGCAAGCTGCTTGCGAGCCGACCACATCACCATTCAGCGAGAGCCAAAGCAAAACGAGACTCGCGTGCGAGTGTGAGCGCGGTCGTCGTATTTTGTTGTTGCTGCTATTGTAATATCTTTTACATTGTGTGGTCCACTACAAGTAGTCGGGCAGGCAACTGTAAATTTTGCCCGCGTTATGCAACAACGACAACATAGACACGAACGCTTCTGATTGGTCGCAGGACGTGCACCCGAGCGCCTGAGTCAACCGAACGACCCGAACGCATACCACAACCGAGAGCCGAACATACGCTCTCGCGCTCTCATACCATCAAACCACACTCTCGTGTGTTGGTCAAGCAATTGAGCGTTACAAAAAAAAAAAAAAAGAAATAGAAAAACAGCAGCCGCTTTGGCTGTGACTGCGGCGAGGCTGTGGTTGCGGCTGCGGCTATGGCTGTGGCTGTAGCAGCGGCTACGACTGTGGGCGGCCAGTGGCCAAGAGGAAGGAAGCGCCATTGTCGCCGCCTCGTGACATGCCAACAAAAATGTCATCAGGGAGTTCCTATCGACATCATCATCATCATCATCATCATGATCAGCGTTATCAGCAACTGTAAAGGATTTGTGATCATTTTCCGTTTGCATTGGCCCACAGCAAAATACTTTTGATGACCATATGATGATATATATATAGATATTATGTTAATGCTTTCAGTTCTTAACAGGAAACTCTTATCTTATATATAAACTCTATTGTCATGTAAGCTCTAGCTCTGCAAACAGAATTGAATGTAGTTATATATTATGGATCTATATCGAAATCCGTCACATTTCTCCATTCACTTTCAATTAGCATTTCGATTAGCTAATTTCAGTTGGACTTTGGCATTCATTCATGCATTTGATTACACAACATTTCGTTAGACAAGTGGCAATAAAATTGATGCAGCTTAATATGATTTCGGAGAGAAGTTTATGACATGGCCATAAAGATGTGGATCCCATTCAGTTGGGATCGCTTTGGGCCGTTTGATGTTTAGAGTGGCAATTTCGCCATTTCGAGTTAACAGGAAGTTAACTTCGAATGCGCATCGAATCGACGCATATATATTTAGCTAGATAGATAGATATCGTTTAAATATATATAGTATTTGTATATATATTTCATATTGACATATGTCACCACAAAAATCCCAACATCAATTAGTGTCTGAGCATTTGCATTTTTGTTTTTGTATTTAATTGTTTTGTTTTAGGTCTCGTTACGCTTTGACATGTTTTGCTCAGCTTAAATACCCTATGCGCTCTCTGCAAAAGGGTATATTGGTAGCTAAATTCATTCAGTAAAACTATAGCCAATTAGAATTTTGATTTCAATACACTCAAAGAAAAGAGAGTAACCTATGGTCGTGTTTTTTTATTTTACATTTACTTTTGCCATAAAGCAGCGTAAATTTGTGCGCATTTGATTTGATTTTTTAATTATTTTTTTTATTATTATTTTTTACATTAAATACAAAATAATACAAATAAATTCTTTGTAAATT